ATGGGGGCAGACGCACATTTTCAGGTTTCTCCAGAAATATTTGATTGGGTTCAAGCTCAGGCTGTGGCTGGGCCACTCAAGGACATTCACAGAGCTGTCTATAAGCTACTCTTGCCGTGTGCTTAGGGTCATTGACCTGTTGGAAGGTGAACCTTCTGCCCAGTCTGAGGTTCTGAATGCTCTGGACTGGGTTTTCATTAAGGCTATCTCAATATTTTGGTGCATTGAGTTTTTCTTCTACTCTGATGAGTCCCTCAGTCCCTGCCGCTGAAAAACAACCCCACAGCATGAGGCTGCTACCAGCAAGCTTTACTTTTGGGATGGTACTCTGCAGGTGATGAGCAGTGCCTTGTTTCCTTCAAACATAATGCTTGATATTGAGGTTCATCATATCAGAGAATCTTGTTTCTCACAATCTGGGGGCCCTTTAGGTGCTTTGTTGCGAATTCCAAGTGTGTTTTCATGCGTCTCCACTGAGGAGAGGACTGAGTCTTGCCACACCGCCATAAAGCACAGATTGGTGGAGTGTTGCAGTGATGTTTGTCCTTCTGTAGGTTTCTCCTATCTCCACATATGATCATGAAGCTCAACTAGAGTGAGCATCAGCTTCTTGGTCACCACTCTATCCAAAGCCCTTCTCCATCAATTGATCGGTTTGGCCAGGAGTCCAGCTCTAGGAAGAGTCCTGCTTGTTCCAAACTTCTTCCATTAAGGGTAACAGAAACTACATGCTTCTGTGAACTTTCAATGCAGCAAATTTTTTTCTGAACTCTTCCCCAGATGTGTGGCTTGATGCAATCCTGTTTCTGAGCTCTACAGGCAGTTTTTTTTATCTTAGGGCTTGGTTTTTGCTCTGATTTGCATTTTCAGCTGTTAGACCAATGAAGACGAGTGTGCCTTTCCAGATCATACTCATTCAAATGAATTTGCCACAGGTTAACTTAACTGGAAGTGTAGTAACATTACATTACATTAGCACTGTATCTCTCAATCATTATTGTTTTGCCTTGCATTATATGTTTTGTCCCCACAATAAATACAGGGCTTTGATCATAAAACTAAGTATCATCATACGAGGAGTTGATAAATGATGACTGACATTTATGCATAAGTAGTCTGCTATAGTGTTATAAAGATCTATGATTTCATATTTCAGACTTTGCAGGGTTAACAAATTATTTAAAGTACTGTTTAGTTCTTAACGTGTAAAACTTTCATGAGGAAAAATAACTAAGTGCACCATTAATTAGGTTCAGTAGATTCTTGATAATATGTAGAGAATTGCATGTCTCCACTGTAGTGATGTGGTTTCACACACCCTCATCTGTTGCAATCTCATTTGTTACTACTGCCTGTAATTAACCTTTGTGTAATTAAAGGAATTCTCTGCCTTAATCACAATGAAAGAGTTTGCAACACAAGGACTATTGCAAAAAAACAACAACAACAAAAAACAAACAAACAGGCAAACAAACAAACAAACAAACAAAAACACTTACAGGCATCTTTAAAGGGATTGTTTCCCCAAAAATGAAAATGCTGTCATCATTTACTGACACTCGAGTTGTTCTAAACCTGTATGAGTTTCTTTCTTTTGCTGAACACAAAAGAAGATATTTTGAAGAATGTTGGTAATCAAACCGTTAACAGTAGCCATTGTCTTCCATAGTATTTTTTTTTTTTTCATACTCTGAATGTCAATTGCTACCATCAACTATTTGGTTACCAACATTCTTCAAAAAAAATTTTGGTTACACTTTATTTTAAGGTGTCCTTGTTACAGTGTAATTATACATTTAACTACTGAGTAATATGAATTAACTACATGTACTTACTACATGCTTAGGGTTAGGATTAGGGTTTGGTTTAGGGTTACTTGCGTGTAATTATGCATAATTTATTGTTATTATAATAGTAAGTACATGTAACATGTAACAAGGGCCCCTTAAAATAAAGTGTTACCTAATATTTTTTGTGTTCTATAGCTGAAAGAAATTCATGCAGGTTAGGAACAGCATGAGGGTGAGTAAATAAGAGTCACTATTCTACGCCTGTCTATAACACTAGCTTTCGTCTCAGAGTGTGGAGCACCGAATCTTGTCCCGGGACCCTTCGGCAGATCTGGAGTATAAGCAGCCCGACTCAGGCCTCTCCTCTCCGAATGCCACCCTGCCCACCCCAACCCCCACCGCGGCCCATTTCGACATCTGCTCACCCTCCAGCTCGCTGTCCAATTATGACTCGGCAAACTCCAGCCAATCCAGTACTGGAGAGAAGAGGAATGGCACGCCTCCCTCACAAGTACCGACAGGTCAGAGAAACACACCAATGAGCTCTCTGTATAATTGTATTTGCACTACTTTTGCTAATATTATGCTAATATATATGTATCACCGATTCTTGAGAAGTGGGACAAAACAGGGTGCAAAATTGAAAAAAATAAAACCTTGTACTCAGACAAATGAAACTACGTTTATGTATATTATATGTACTAAGCTACTGAGCTATGCTTTGATGCAACCTCCCAACTTTTCTCTTTTTTATCAAAATGTGTTTTTTACCTTGGACCGTGTAATATAATTTCAACTTTATCTTTAACAGCATTCAAGATTTTAACATTTCAAAAAACATTCTCATGTTAGCAGACAGATTACACTTTCACATGTGACCAACAATTCCTCAACAAATATAAAATATAATGAAATATTATCAAAATATTCATCTGACGGTGGTGAACGAAAACGTACTCGGTTACTAACGTAACCTCGGTTCCCTTTCGATACTTCACTCGTACTGCGTCTTGCTAGA